CAGTAAGAATTAAGACTTTAACCGAACCAGATAAAAGTTTGATATATGTCTATTCGTTTGTTTATGAATTATGCGCAAAGCAAGAGCTATCTACGATAGCCATCCCTAGTTTTGAAGTGATAGGCTAGAGGGAAGACAACTAGTCATCACTACCCACCGCCAACTGCTGGCTACTCTTTACCAAACAAACAGAAAGGACTCGCCTTCATAGAAAAACTTCAAAACACCAAACGATTCAAACATGGACAACCACTCCACGAACATAGTAAATAATCATGTTACAACAAATCCTCATCTATACCTACCAAACTTCACAACTAACACTCCACAGAATAGCACACAAAAAGCTGTAGAATATGACAACATAACAAAACAATTAATCAAACCCATCACATTAACAGAAGTACAGGAAAACATGAAACTCTTGAAGAACAAATCACCAGGAAAAGATAAAATCCAAAACAATAAAAGGCCCTCTGAGATTACTAGTACACCTAGTGGGATTGACCGTCACATTATAACGCCCCACGGCTGAAAGGGGAAGCATATTTGGTGTGACGGGGATTCGAACCCGCGACCCGCAGATTGCGAGTTGAGCGCCAAAACCGCCTGGCCAAAAGTGAAAGTGCAACCATACATTAGCAAAGGTGAGTGCAAATATACTTGTTAATATAACCGCATGAAATGGACATGGCCTGAAAAGGGTGTGTTAAATTAAAAATTGCGGGCAATGGGAAATATTTAGTATACCATGAGTAAAGCAACATTGTAACGGGGATATTACCAAGGATTCAGTTTCAGCATAGTTGGAATAACAATTCCTGATAATGACTAAGAGATCTACGCTGAACTTGACCCTCCCTGGTCTTAGCATGTACCAAATCCCGACGTAGAAACACGTGTGTAGAGTGAACTAACCACAAGGCCGTGTCAGGCCTAAATATATGTCATTTGATGACAAATATAGCAAAATTACACCACAAGCAGAGTACATGCAGTGCGGTAATTAGCGAATTGCATGTTTTCACCAAAAGTGTCCAGCAAAGATGCCAAAAAAGGGCAGGAAATATTCTACTGTATGTATTGTTGCGTCATCGAGTCACATGACTACTGTGACGCAACGTTTCTAGAACTATCATGTACTTTGGCGAATGTTCTAGTTCTTACTAGATATAGGGTAGGCTGGTATATAAAAGAGGGGAATGTAATGTGTGTAGACAGTGAGTAATTGAACTGCAGTCAGAGAGCACGAGAGACGTTACAGCGTTTGTTTAGCGCGATTGTTGAAGTTGAGTGTATCGGTAAAGTTATATTCGGAAAGAAGTTACGGGAAGTTAATTAACAAACGGAGACGTAACAGTATTATTTAATCGCTTCGTATTCGAAACCGGGACTTGTCACACATCAATGTAATGACAACTGAAATAGAAGGTTAACCCGCTAGCAGACTTTTAGTGAGGTAATTTTAACAAGTAACTTAAACTACAGTACCAACCATATCTCGGGGTCGTAATTTTCATTACTTCATTGACTCGAATTTGAATCCGAAATCTATCATATGGCAAGCGAGAGCTATACTAAATAGACTATATAGCGATTGCCAGTAAGGCACTTTTTAGTAATTCAAACTAATACAATATCTCAAAATGTCATTCTCAAGGGCAAAAAGTTTTTGTCCAGGGGATAATAACACTCGTTAGTGGTCACCTTCTTCTCACTGTGAGTCATAGGCGCCAGAGACAGGGCAAAAAGGAGCAACGAGAGGAAATCTTTCAGTTTGTTTTCAAGTTAAGCATATAGCTACACAACGGGCTATCTGTGCTCTGCTCACCACGGGTATCGAAATCCGGTTTCTAGCGTTATAAGTCCACAGACATATCGCTGTGCCACTGGGGGCAGGACATTTTTTAAATAAAAATTTTAACATGTGTTCTTGAAATTTGTTGTAACTACGCATTTCTACCTTTGTATCGTTTTCTCTGCGTAAGCGGGAAATTTATTTCCACGATCTTATTAAAAAGCCTAACAGAAGGTTAAAAATTGACAAATAGAGGCTCAAATTTCAATTTTTTGATATTATTTTATCCTAAACAAATGTTAATAAAATTGTATCAAAAGAAAATTTAAAATATCAAAATTTCAGCTATGATTTTATTTTGGAGAAAATTTGTGGGGATGCATCACATATTAATTTTCAAAAGTCGATGTCATGACGTCGCATATTGTTTGTTTTGTGATACAGACAGTATGGAATCGTGTGATGGACATCTGAGAATTAGTTCAGATTATTACTAGAGTAACAGTCATTGTATTTGACTCGCTCACAAATTTTTAACAATTTTTAGTTTGGCTGGTCTCCACTTTTGTTGTCTTTCCGGCGTTGTTGCTGTGATGTTTGATTCCAGATATAAATATAAAAAAATGTAAAATTTCTAGATTAGAATAAGAAAGTAGAAAATGTATGGTATTCCTGCATACCACAAGAGTCCAGCAACGATGTCCGAAAGGCGCAAGATACTCTAACTACAGATCACAATTCCAAAATGTCATTCTCAAAGCAAAACATTGTATACGTGGTTGCATCATTCTCATCTCGAGACCTTGGTTCACAATATAAATATAAAATAGAATGTTCTACATTTGTATTCCACAATTTGTTCAATACTTATCTGCTGTGCTGGTGTTTGTGTGGTATTCTCACAAAACTGATTTCCCCCAAGACTAACGAGATAGAACCACAGAATAACAGGCGATTCATCAACATATGTACTTGAAAATAATTCTGTATTCTCTGACTAACTGAGTTTATGAGGAATAAAAAGATTGAACACAGATGTTCAATTACAGTAAACTATCCTCATTCAAACAAATACGGCAACATGTATTTTATTTGCCACATAAAATAGTCACGGTTACTGGAGTGTTAGGCTTGCAGTCGTCTCTAACTTATTCAAATAGGGTCGTATACCAGACTAACTTTATTCATTGTTGTACGACAGCGGAGGTCACGTGACCCTAGTAACACGTCACGCGCTTCTAGAACGTTCATGAAGCGTCGGACAGAGAGAGACGTATTGTTGAGTCGAGCACGTGAGACGTTCGTTGAGAATTATAGCGTTTGTTATAGCGCGACTGTGGAAATTAAGCGTATTGCAAAGTTGTATTCAGAAAGAATAAACCAGTTTTATTTAAGAAAGGACTTGTATCGCTAAAGTTTCTTCGGAAAGAAATTATACGGAAAATTAATTAAACGAACGGAGGCGTAACAGTTTTATATCCTCCTTAACTTTTTTTTCACAGGCCTATACATGTTGTAACTTATTGTAGGCCTATGTTTACCGCTACGCTATCTACACTATACTAACGTAAAAATAAAGTTACTTATACAAAGGAATTCAGTATGCTTGATAGGAGCACACACCAGAAAATAAATCCGATGACCATTCATCCTTACAGTTAGAAAACAATTCCCTATATTGTCGAGGCTTCACCATACCCATGTAAGTTTTCCTGTTTTATTGACTGATTCACCTCTATTTGTACCTTATCTTTGTTCTATTCATGATGTTCGAAAAACACGGAAGTTCAAGAAAACAATTTAATTATCATAAAGATACGATACCTTATAACCCAAGCGCCTTTGAAAGGTAGACCTTTTTTCTTTTATGGGCAAACTGAGAATGATCATGTAAAGCAAAGTGTGAGATAGAATGACGTCATGCAAACTGCCATGGAAATCCGGAAGTATTTTGAGTAATTTTCAATGTATTTCTATAAGTGTCTCATTTCCGGTGCAATACTACCAGAAACAAGAATGTTAGGTATAAGGTATAGAAGGTAGACATGTATTGTTTTATAAGAGAAAAATGGTCAAGAGAAACTACACTGAGTACTGATAAAGTAAAATAAAGGTGAGATATGAAGACTGATTTTTAAAATGTTAAACAGATATAATTAAAAAAGATAACCCGGAAAACTATCACCTCTATTTGTATCTTATCCTTGTTCTATTCATGATGTTCGAAAAACACGGAAGTTCAATGGGCAGTATAAGTAGTTCAGAGCTTATTATTAGAAAGATTAGGGGTAAAAATTGAGCATTCACAAAAAACACTTTAATTTATTGACAAAGAACAAACTAATGATCGGAAATCACTAATTCCAGAATCTAGATGTATTACACAACAAGCAAAAGTACCCGTCCCCTGTAACAGGAAAAAGTTTTAGTTAATCAACCAATTTAAATTACTTGATGAACT